TAGAGGCAAATTAATGCCATACAAATGCAGAATCAGACAAACGAGCTCACTGTTTGAGCCCAGATGAGTATTGCCATATCTGCTACAAGAGATGATTAAGTAATTTATATTTGAATAAATAAATAAATACATCAAAAATAAAATAATAATAATAATGAATAAATATGTTAAAATAATTTTTTTTAAAAACCTGAATATTTTAGAAATAGTTTGTTGGACCATCCTGTAAGTTTGGATGCGAAATGTGACCAAATAAACCCACATAAAAAATAATAAATAATACAAATGCTATATTTTGCATATTTGTATGTAAAACTTTATTCTTAACAGTCATGTTAGTTGTGAAATTAATTGGCAACAATCCTCAGTCTAGGGACCTGCTTGACTCATTTTGTACAATACACATGACCCATGCAAGAGTAAACTGAAGTCCTGGATCCTTGTGTGAATTCTGCCAGTCTTCTGTCCTTCCCTTGTCGATTATTTTGAGGCCCTTTGTCAATAAAAGTACCATCTAATTCTCACAAGGTATAAATAACAATAAATAAATAAATAAAAAGTTCGCGTGCAAATAGTGCGATAAATAGACGCTCAAGAACAGAAGTCGCGTTCGCCTGCATTGGTAACCATAGCAACAGTACGTTGCTCGAGCTTTTTCCGTCACCAGCTGACGTACGTCAACAAAAAAAAGTCCTGCCATTTTCACATTATTTATTTATTTACCACAAAAAAAAAAACGAGTGTTTTGTCATTTTTAAAACAGTTGACGGTTAGCGCACTGCGCTAGAAGACTATTTGGCTTGCGCGAAACGAACCTCAACAGCAAATGACTAACAGAAATCCCTTAAAAAGGTCCACCACCACCCCTCCCCCTTGAAGGTCAACGAATAAATGTGGGATGATTCGCACACTCTTCTCTAGTATGCGCTACTCTGCTGTTTCCCTGCAGCAGATGCCGTGACGGTCGCCATGATGATGTCGGGTTTTGCCTGCAGCAGCAGCAGCAGCAGCAGCGAGCTGTGAGAGACACTCACACGGCGACCGGGAGCGGAGCCGCGGAGTCCTCCGACCGACATGAACGAAGACGCCTATTTTCAGCCCCTCTCCGCAAAGCTTCTCTCGACAAGTGCATGACAGTTTTCGAAAGCAAGGCTCGCTCCTTCCGCCAGCGTTTTGTATATACGAAGAGAGGAATTTAAAGGAAAAACAGCTTGCTAGGGCTTTCGCAGTCCTGCCAGAGGAGGGGCATATGGGGCTTTGTAGCAATGCAGATCTCGTGCTGCTGATGCGCTTTTGTTACTGCGTAATGGATAACCACAGATATCACCATATCTCAGGGCATTGCTTTAAACTTCTTGGGTGACTTGTTTTTGTGAAAAGTGTCCTTTAAAGGGAGAAGCTGAAATCGGGAATATATAAGCCTAGGTTATATACGTCAAATCCACCGGCCAGGGCAGGGTCGATGGCTGCAAGTTCTCTGCATCTAAGGACTGCGAAATCATGATGTTGTGGATTGATATGGACGCATCGCTGCGAGAGGGACCATGATTAGGCTTTACAATATTTTTTGAGCCTTTAATTTTTTTGGAGCGTTCACTCAAGTGTGCCACTGGCCGGTCCCGTTTGCTACCGTGGGAGCAAAAACTGACCATACTGTGAGACATCAGCAGCAACTGAAAGCATGTCTGGAGAGGTGCGTTTGAAGAAACTGGAGAAGCTGATTCTTGATGGCCCGTCTCAGTCCAGCGGCCAGTGCTTCAGCGTGGAGACCTTGCTGGATATTCTTGTTTGTCTGTATGATGAGTGCAATAATTCTCCCCTTAGAAGAGAGAAAAACATCCTGGAGTTCCTAGACTGGGGTAAGACATATCTCATGCACTGCACGCGTCCCACACGTCAGTTGGGTAGCTATTCACTGTGACGTGCGAGAGGCAAACAAACTATTGTTTCATTGTCTGCCGTTTACCAGCTGCTTAACAGACTAAAGTTGCTGTACGGGAAAACCCACTGAGTTGTTTTCGAGGGGGGAACAGAAATGAAGGTGACATCATCGCTGGACTGGTTTGTGCATGAATGTGGAATGTGAAGCTCATCTGAATGAGTCTTCCTGCTTACTGCTCAAAACAAGGTGGATACAGTGCAGTGGGCTGTCATTCTGACTTGGGCCACTGCTAAACAAACTAATTTATTTATGGCCTCTGTGCTTGTTCGGAAGCAGAATAGCATGCATATTCTTTTTTGATGGCTCGACTGTTCTTTACATATTATTGTTCATGTTTATTTTGGTGTTTAATGTGTTTAATTAATTCTCTGGCAGTAGCTAAAGGTGCACTCAGTAATGTTTTGCGAACTTTTAAAGTTTACAAACGAAAAAGACTCCAGAGCAATCAGTCTTAAAGAAAAAGCTGGTTTATTCTACATGACTCGGGTCTCTCCTTCATGGACGCCGGCATGTTGAGATCACATGACCAGCTGTGTCACGCAACTGACCGCGTTGCTATTAATAATAATATGTTTTCTTTATATACAGTTTTTAGCCAGTGCTGAAGGCACTTCATAAAGCATAAATGTTCATCTAAAAAAAAAAAAAAACTCTTGTCTATTTTTCACATTTTTAATTAGTTGATTTCTTTATTCTTTTACTTTTCATTGTATTTTTATTGATTGTTAACCTTTTTATGATTACTATTTTAATTTTTTTAATTTAAAATGTCTTTAAAGCATTTAGAATTACCACTGCATGAAATGCAGATAAACTTGTCTTGTCTTTGCCTTGCCTAACAACAGCAACAGCAAAATTCAGAGTGATGGTATGGAACAGCAACTAGACCAGGGGTCTCTGGAGGGCCGTGTCCTGCAGAGTTTAACCCTAATTAAACACACCTGAACCAGCTAAACAATGTCTTACTAGGCATACTAGAAACTTCCAGGCAGGTGTGTTGAGTCAAGTTGGAGCTAAACTCTGCAAGACTGAGTTTGGAGACCCCTCTTCTAGAGCAGACTTCTTGCATCCAGGCTGATATCTGTCTGCATCACGTCAAAACCACTAATACTATTAGAACAAATGAGATGTGAATCATTAAGACAAATAGGCAAACTTTTATGTGGCAGAGTTCATCCTCCATCTGTAAATGATCTAATTGCTAGTTTAAAATGGAGCAGAATGAATGGCCTTCTAAAAAGTTTGGCATAACCAGCTGTCATGTTATGTAACTTTCTGTGAAATGAATAGAATGCAACAAACAGCACGCGTTTAAATTCGTTGACCATCGTCTGAATGCAGTGCCAATTCACAGCACAGTCCCTCTGTAGTTTGTTGTTTTGTTTACAATCTTCTGGTCCTGTGATTTTAATGAAAATGCAAATCAAACATGCCTTCGAGTGACTTAGTTAGATTCGTAGAGATGGCAGTGCTGGTCATTGTTGTCGTACCCGGGTCAGGACGTTTTTGAGATTTGTTGAGCTATTGTGCGTCATTGTGCATGTGTGCTTATGCAAACAAGTGTAAGTGCCCTTTTCCTGTGGGGAGTCTCAGTAGGGCAGCATCAGGAAACTCCGCTGGACACATGATGTCATGTGGCATAACCAGCTGTCATGTTATGTAACTTTCTGTGAAATGAATAGAATGCAACAAACAGCACGCGTTTAAATTCGTTGACCATCGTCTGAATGCAGTGCCAATTCACAGCACAGTCCCTCTGTAGTTTGTTGTTTTGTTTACAATCTTCTGGTCCTGTGATTTTAATGAAAATGCAAATCAAACATGCCTTCGAGTGACTTAGTTAGATTCGTAGAGATGGCAGTGCTGGTCATTGTTGTCGTACTCGGGTCAGGACGTTTTTGAGATTTGTTGAGCTATTGTGCGTCATTGTGCATGTGTGCTTATGCAAAAAAGTGTAAGTGCCCTTTTCCTGTGGGGAGTCTCAGTAGGGCAGCATCAGGAAACTCCGCTGGACACATGATGTCATATGGGGAAACGGCTGCGCATTGTGTTTGTCCCCTTTGTGGACTTGACTATTTAAAGATCGACTGGATAGGTCACTCACTCATGAGCTCATTAGCACACACTCACTCATTCATTCACATTTCAATGTACGCCGCTGTGACAGTCATTGGCATGGAGACCAAAGTCACAGTTTATTGTCACCGAGGTCAAATTTAGCTTCACAAGGGACTGCGTGTCTTGCTTCTTTATGACACACTAACATATTTTTATGGCGTTCGTATTTCAAGAAGGAGGCTGGAAGTCCGGCATTACTTTGTAACTGAAAGGCAATGAGGGGATACATTTGGCTGGTTGCTCTGGTTTTCCTCAGCATCTGTGGACAGTTCATAAAGACAATTTCAGAGGACACATCAGTCACTGATGATTTAGGTAAGAACAGTGATGAGGATTCCACATTCATCGTTGATAGATCGTAATTGGAGCCTTGAGGCAGTCACAATGTACTACAACATAATGAGAATCTCATGTATGTTGGGACAAGGTTGCTAAGTTGCAATTATATGCTAAACCCCCTGGAATGTCCCAGTCCTCCAGAGAAATGTATGCATAACCGTGCAATACACATAATGAATGATTCATTCATATTTCCTTCGCTTCCATCGCCAACCAAGTCTAGACCAGTGACCCAGAGCCATATTGTATTGTTCTGATTATTTTCATTGTGAAAGAGTTCAGGCTTTTCACTGAAATGGATCTAGGGCCAATTGGCTAAGATGTGTACATACTTTCAGCTTTTCATTCGTTTTCCCTTGACTGACCCTGTAGAAGATTGGAGGTAGCTTGGGGGAATGATTTGCCGGGGTTTCCCACATGATATATTTGTTAAGCAGTGCAGTATGTTAAACAGGTATTCCCTCAACTATGTTCCAAAACCTACAGGAATATAGAGTATTTTTCACTGTCAGTACAAAACCAAATTGGCTTAATGTCTATATGGAATCCTTTGACCAGTGAAAATATTGTTCAGACCTTTTCGCTTACAAAAAAGTACATACCACAGTTTTTGGACATGTTGCTGTGGTAATATTACAATATTCAGTGAATTTTATTGGTGTATTGTGTAAATACCATGGTACGCTGAAAAAAAAGGTACACTTTGAAACAGTTTTTACTCAGAAATGGCTAGTACATTTCACAGATAATTACAAAAAAACGGCAAGTAAAACATTAAATTAAACATGAAATTCTTAAGTAGAAAGACTGAAATAGTATTTTCTTGTAAAACGTCCTCCAATAATATTTGTTTTATTTATACTTTTTATTTTTTTAATTTTACAGTGTATGTGAATATGGTAATAAATTTGTAGCATGATATACAGTGTCTTTATTGTTAACGAAAACTATAAAAAAATATTTTTTGGTAATTTAAATAAAATAAAATATAAATATTAGATGAAAAGCATAGACTTAAAAAATCAGAAACATGACCTTGGCTAGCTAACTGAAATAAGCTCTAAAATGACTAAAACTGGAAAAAAAAATTAACTATAAAAAAATTACCAAAGCACATTACAAAATGAAGTCGAAATATAAATAAATACTATAATAGTATATAAATCAAAATACCATGGTATTAACATGTGATACATCATCGTGCCATGGTACGACTACATTATTGTTTGCGACTTTTTGTATTACACAAGAAAACCTTTTTGTGGATTTTTCCAATTTAATTTTGTTTTTTTTATTGTTTATTCATATTTTAATTTTTATTCATTAAATTTAAAAGTGAGGTCACTGGACATAAATATGGCTGTATTTCACAGTCCATTACATAGATGTCCTGCTAAAATGCAAGGCATGCCAGACATTGAGCTGCTCTACACTGAGGAGCAAGAGCAATGCCAAAATCCCAAAATAACACCTCCGCAATGTAGAGATCTGGATGCATTGTTCCTCCCTGTCACATGATGTTTCTCCTGTGGAGGGCTTGGCTTGTATCGCTCGGCTGTAATAGCATGGTTTAAAGCCAAAGAATTCACCTCTTCTCCCTCATCTGTCTCCATTCCCACTCCGGTCCCTCATTCCAGCAAACCCTCCAGCAGTCAAACAAGAACGTCTTATTTAGAGCTAACATTATACACTTAAACACCCGCCCATGCCTGGAGCTGTAATATGCGCACATATATGTGGGAAGAGAGAATGTTTTTGTCATTGTATATGTATTGTAACGCATTCTAGACACATGTTTAGGGTGTTTTCGCTAACAAAGATCTGTTATTCGAGATAACACTCACCAGTAACCAGCCAATGCTGCAGTGCATTGGTGCTCTGAGACCCTCCTTGCACACTGTAGATGAGGAAGATTGCTGCACTCTGCTTAGACTAAGGCCAGATTTGCATGGAAGTGCTGACTCAGAGCTCTAGGTCTTTGCTGCTCCGATGTGCAGTGTGAAGAGGATCATATGGCAGCTGTTTGATGCCTACGCTATGTCGTCGTTCTCTGTCTTCCTCTCTGTGCATCACAGTTCTTGACTGGCCAGCCTCTTAATCAGTCTGGCACTTCTGTGTACCAGCTTTGGCAGAGCAAAATAATGGACACTCAGTTTCATTCGCCATTTGAGATCTAAGTAAACAAACTGTGGCATGTGACAGTTGACCATGTTGTAAACAAAAGCCAAATGCTTTAATCATATGTATGTCAGCATCTGTATATGTGTATATAAAGTGGATAGATTTAATATGGAACTCAATTGGGTGTAGTTCACCCAAAAATGAAAATTTTGTCATTTACTCATCCTCAACATTGAAAAACAATATTGGAGCCCATTTACTTTCATTGTATGGACAAAAAAAACAACAACAAAAAACAAAACGGAGACCTTTTTAAAAATATATTTTGTGTTCTACAAA